TCAAGCTTCTCTTTGTCTGTTCTTAGTCTTATAATCCTGCATTCTTAAACAGATGTTAGAATACGCAGTTGTTCTTTAAATATTTTGTTATCATTAAAACCCAAGTGATACGGTATCAACCAGTTTTGTTCCAATAGAGGTGTGTGCTACTATGAATGATCTATATTGTTATGATAAAACCTTGGAGGAAAACATCCTTAACCTCTAACAACATCATTAGGAGATCTACACCATTGAGGAGACAAAAATTTTAAGCCATCATCTTCGACAATATTTTATAGACGTATCGAACCCCAAGAACATGTCGCCTCCAACAACACATAAATGGAGACTATTGGAGCCTTCATCCTCTAATATTGTTAAACACAATGTATTATTTATTTGTGATATAGTAAGTTACAATCAATCAAACCTTCTGTTGGCAGACTCACTTAAAACATCAAGGGGTTGCAGTTGAAGAAAATGTTATATCGCAAAAAATTAGACATGACTATTTTGTTAAATTAGTCCTGATAATTAGAAAATTGTATTAATGTTCAAACAAAATTAATAAAACAAAAGGTTAAGATAAATAATTCGAAAGGAGTCTAATTTCCTTTATCAATTTGTTATTTAATTTAATGATATATTTTGCGTACCTCAAATAACTACCTTTTTATCAAATCAAGTTAAATTATCATTACCTTGTACAAACTAACACATTCCAGATCGTAATAAATCTTATAAATTGTATTATTTTTTCTGATAATATATATATATATATATATATATATATATATATATATATATATATATATATATATATATATATATATATATATATATATATATATATATATATATATATATATATATATATATATATATTAGGTATGATAATTATACAATAAATTCAAAAAATATATATCTTTTATTTATAAATAATACAAGAGAGAGTATTACCTAACAACCTTTCAATTAAAGATATGTTCAAAGTCGTTAGTTAGACCCATCCGTCAACTTATTAGATCCTTTGACTAACACAGTGTGGTGATAGCATAATATAGGTTGAGTTAAGGGTGTTGAAATCCAAGCCGATTCAAATAAAAACTGAAAATCGATCCAAAAAGTCGAAAATAAAAAAATACCCAAAATTATTGGATGTATTTGAATGTCATTTTGTAAAAACCGTTCGGTTCAGATCAGATTTTGAATTGATTTTTCAAAATCGATCCAAATCAAACCAAACTGCATGTATATATTTTTTATTAGTATATGTCGTATTAATTTAATATTAGATGATATCTATTTTTTAAAATATTATATATTAGTTTGATTTAATCTATCTATTTTTATAATTATTATTTTATAATATTAACTTTTAATATAACATATTATATATTATATCAAATTTTTTATTTATTAGTACTTTTAAAATATTAATAAAAGCTATACTTTATAATTTGGATATCTAAAATATCAATCCAAATTAAAGCACATGAAATTGGATTGGATCAAATTATTTTTTTAATAAATCATGCAAAATCAAATCAACCACAAGTAAATTTATTTGAATCAAATAATATTTTACTTCAAAATCATTTCAAATCGAACCGCGAACACCCCTAAATTAAGCCTCAGACCAAATTCAAAACAAATTATATAACATTTTAATTAATTTTAAAATATTAAACATGAATAAATAACTTTTTGTAATCAACATAGTTATAATCAAAAGTCACGATTCTTTACATTATCATTAATTATTTCATAAATAAAATTATATTAAAAATAATAATTTATAAGGTTCTAGAAAATTGAATACATTTTACTAAAACAAAAGAAAATAGAATAGAATATTTTTAAGATAATATTTTTATTATTTAAAATACAAGTTAACATTTAAAAATAAAAAATAAAAATAAAGTTGAAATTTATCAATAATTAGCATTTAGTCGGACATAATGTCGTATCGATTTGTTCGTTTTTATTAATATACATTAGATTAAAATATAAACAGTTTTTTTGCGTGTTTCTTTTTTATTTTAATTTAAGTTATTTATAAAATAATAAAAAATAATAGAATAAAAGAGATATGTAAACTATCTTGTTGATAAAATAGAAGTTGAGATTTTAAAAAAAATTGAAAAAATTAAATAATAAATTACACCATAACTAAATTTTAGCTTTTATTTAATACTACTAGAACTAGTTTTTAAAATAAAAATAAAGGTATATGCACGACTTTCTTTTTCGAATTTTTTACCCAAATACCTCACTTTAAAAAAAAATCCAAAAAAAATTCACTTTTCAGATTATTTCCTAAAGTACCTCAGTTTAAGAAAAAATTAAGTGATATCTCCATACCAATTGACGACAGTGTTGTAAGCTTAAGAGGTGTCGCTAATTGGATCGAAGACACCATGTAATATCTCCAATCCAATTGGAGACAATGTGTTAAACTTGAATGTTATCGTCAATTCATTTGGAGACAAGGTGCAATCATAAAATTTTAAGCAAAAATAATTAATATTAATAATTAATTAAAAATAATATTACATAAATTAATGATGACGATCAGGTTGATCATACCGCCCACTAGTTCCACATCTCATATGTACCCTCACTCGCTGCCCTCGTTGTTGATTCACTATATGTTTGAGGATTTGAGGTATTAGGAACATCAACAGGATCCCTAAGAAGTTCTTGCATTTCTAAAAAGTCTTGTGTATGGAGCGACGACACATTGCCGTAACTGAGTTCACGATCCATGCTAGAGTAGTTGGGATGTGATGAAGGGGACATTGGTGTGCGACCTGGACGATTGAAGGGGGACATTGGTGTGAAAGATTCTTTGTTGAAAGGTTGAATGATAATGGTGTTTGAAAGTCATAGGGTTGTTGTGATGTTTGTGTTTGTCGGCTATGGTGTGAGGTTTGTGTGTGTCGACTATGGTGTGATGTTTAAGCGTTTTGGCTATGGTACGATGTTTGGGCGTTTTGGCTATAGTACGATGTTGTGTTTGGGGCATAGTCATTTTGGTTGTCTTGATAATAGTCATCATGTGGGTCAACAACTCGCACCCTTGTCATTCTTGTCATTCTTATCATTCTTTACTAGCACCCATCACAACAGTTCATCAAGTCTCTCAATACTTTGAATTTTTTCGCCTTCAGGTATGTCTCCGTATAATCAACGATACAATTCAACTCAATCTGGAGTTGCTTGAAACTTTGGATGTTCCTGGGGACGAATCCCGAAATATTAATTAGTGGGGGCATGATACTCCTTCATCTCATAAAAATTAGAAAATAATTATATATATTAATTTTAATGAAAAAACCAATGTTATTTTTTAGAATACATTTATTCACTGTAATAAATAATATAGTTGAATTAAACTAAAGTTAATAAATAATAGAAATGATAATAGAAAAATAATAATAAATATTGTATCGTATTTTTAAGAGATAATTATTTTAAAACATAGAAAAATGTAAAAGTGAGATACTTTTTATGTGAAGAAGGAAGTACACATATTTTAAATATTACATACCGCATATTAGAAATTTTTGCATAAAAATTTATTAAAATAAATATATATTTGTCTTGTGAATTTAATTATTGTTACTATTAGAGTACTACATCCAAAAATTGAAAAAGAAAAGAAAATAAATATATAATAATTATTCAAACAATAAATTAATCTTTAAGCTAGATATTTAGAATAATTGTTTTTTCTCTCAATATTATTACATATATATATTTATGTGTATGTGGTCAAATAATATTTTAACAACTTATCTTTTAAATTATTTTTTATTTAATTATTTATAATTAAAATTAATTAATTTATTTTATGGGGCAATATTTAATTTTAAAAAAATAAAACTAAAATAATTAGTTATTTAATACAAAATAAATAAACTAGTGGGGCAAGTGCCTCTAATTAGCATATCCTAGATCCGGCCCTATATGTTTTAGAAGAGCATTTCCATGAGAGATTTCTCTCTAGAATAAATTATTTCTGTAGCGGCAATAATACATGTACTAATACAAGAATATGAGAAGAAATGTGAAATTAATTGATCACGCCATCTTCATTTATAATAAAATTACACATTGCATTATGTCTATAAATGAATTAGCGACATTATTTAAATTTAATATAATATCTTCAATTGACGATACCTCTTTATCCTACAAAAGCAATCCCCATTTTATAAAAAAACTAAAAGTGAAATATTTTTAAAAAATAAATTAAAAAGTGAGTTATGACTTTCTAAAAGTGAAATATCTTAGAAAATAAATTAAAAAGGGAATTATAAAAAAAAGGTATTTAGGTAAAAAAAAAATTCTTTTCCGAAATACATACAATATACTATTATAGTCAACAATGGAGCTATGTCATAACTCATCACGCAACAAAACCCGTTTTCACGCATTCAAAAACTCACGACCTTTCAAATATATTTATTTCTTTATTATTCCATTATTATTTCCATTTCTCTCTTTTCTCTCATTCGTCATTCACGAAACCTACCTCACCTACCCAACGATCCACAGAGTGTGAATTTAGTCATTTACACGTGTAGATTCATGTTAACATTCAACTCTTCAAACCAACAATAACCGTACAATTCCAACCATCCAACGGCTCACAGTAAAGCTACTAGAACTTTCTCCTCTTCCGTCCCCTTTATATTACGTGTTCTTCATTTCTAACACACGCTCTTCACTCTTGGCTCGTGCTCTCCTCGTGTCACTAGGGTTTAACTTTTTCGTTTCTTCTTAGTCTTCTTCTTAGATTTCGAGGTTCGAATAGCTTTCGATTTTGATTCAGCTTTTTTCTACTTTTTAGTGATTGTATAATACTCGAATCGCAGTTGATTATGTTCTAGAATCCGTTTTTTTTAGATTAGATCCATGTTTTGATCTTGTTTTTTGCTGTACACGCGATGATCTGATTCTGTTATGTGATGTATGATTTTTTGTTTGATTTTGTTGTAGAATCGTTTGCTATGGGAAAATCTTACCCAACCGTTAGTGCCGATTACCAGAAGGCCATTGAAAAGGCTAAGAGGAAGCTCAGAGGTTTCATCGCTGAGAAGAAATGCGCGCCTCTAATCCTCCGTTTGGCGTAAGTTTTATTATCTGCTTATTCTCTCTACAGGATCGTTGATTTGGGAGATTTTGATTTTTTGAATCGTTGTGCTTAAGTTTATGAGTGATTTAATTTGTTGATGCTTTTTTTTGCAATGGTTTTTCTGTGTAGATGGCACTCTGCTGGTACTTTTGATTCTAAGACAAAGACTGGTGGTCCTTTCGGAACCATTAAGCACCAAGCTGAGCTTGCCCATGGTGCTAACAACGGCCTTGACATCGCTGTTAGACTGTTGGAGCCTCTTAAGGAGCAATTCCCTATTGTTAGCTATGCTGATTTCTACCAGGTTGGTAATTTTTTTCTGTGTGTTTAGTTTTTAGATTTGAAGTTATGTGATAGTTCAATTTTTGTGATTATGTGTTTGATGGTTTATTTTAACGGTAACGCAGTTGGCTGGCGTTGTTGCTGTTGAGATTACTGGTGGACCTGAAGTTCCTTTCCACCCCGGTAGGGAGGTATGTTTGACCACTACTGTTGCTTTTGTCTTCAAATCTCATTTACATGATTGGTAAATCAATTATTAGTTATAACTTTTTTCGGTTATATAATGATTGGATTCATGTCCGCGGATACTTTTTTTTATAAAGAATAGTGTGTGTTTAATCTTTATAACATGTTCGGACATTACTTTGTAAGCTTTAATATTTGTCAGTTTTTGGTGCCTTCTTGTTTTTAAAATTTCTGTTGGATACATAATTGTAGTGATAATCACAACAATTAATCTAATGTTGTGTGATAATTTGAAATGCTTTGCCTCTTGCATGTTTTTTATCTTTGTTTTTCACTAGTTTTGAAAGTATTTGGAAACTAATAGCAGTGCTTTTGTTATGTTTTCATATCAGGACAAGCCTGAGCCACCACCAGAGGGTCGCTTGCCTGACGCCACTAAAGGTCAGTGGTTTGGATTTGTGATGTGAATTACACTACATGATTGATTGCATACGTTTTGTTCAGTGTTTGATTCTTGATTATTGCAGGTTCCGACCATTTGAGGGATGTGTTTGGCAAAGCTATGGGGCTAAGTGATCAGGACATTGTTGCTCTATCTGGCGGTCACACTATTGTATGTCATAACTTTAAGCTTGCTCCTAGTTTTACTTTAGTATTTAATAAACCATTAATATTGAGATTTGCATTATCATCTACATTGTGCAAACTTGTGTTATCAATATTATGGTATTGACTGTTTTGGTTATGCTTAATGTAATTGGCAGGGAGCTGCACACAAGGAGCGTTCTGGATTTGAGGGACCATGGACTTCTAATCCTCTCATTTTTGACAACTCATATTTCACGTAAGTCTTAACACTGTCTTCCAACCATGACGGCACCTTTGATCTAGTTTTCAGTTCTCTTTATTGACAACATTATTGATACATTATTGATAAATTTACAGTGAGTTGTTGACTGGTGAGAAGGATGGTCTTCTTCAGTTGCCAAGTGACAAGGCACTTTTGACTGATTCTGTATTCCGCCCTCTTGTTGAGAAATATGCTGCGGTAAGTATATTTCCAGAATACTATTCTATGTGAAATTATAATATCTACTGTGAAGTTAATAAAATAATTCTGTGTCAATGTTTACAGGACGAAGATGCCTTCTTTGCTGATTATGCTGAAGCACATCTTAAGCTCTCCGAGCTTGGGTAAGTCATTTTATCTTACTCTGGAGCTTATGAAGAGTATACTTGGTATACCTCTGGTATTTTTATTTGTGGAATGTCTATAGCGACTTGATTCATTTTTATGAATTTTTTACCTTGCAGATTTGCTGAAGCCTAAGTCACAGTTGTGTGGTGTTTAGAGAGGCGCAGTGTCCTGAATCTTACATAAATTTCATAGATGTTGCTTTTATTTTCAATGTGGATTCATCTTAGTTGGGTAGCATATATGGTATTTTGGAAGTTTGATTGTTTTCTCTATTGTTGATCCTCGGTTAAATAACATTGTTAAGTGGTAATGCCCAGCTATTGCGTTTTTCTGATAATAACTTGTTTTGTTCTTATTCTGCGGTTGAAATTTCATCTAAAGTGAGACATCTTTTTAATTTTAGATTGAAATTTTAAACATCATTCATTGATATTTCTAAACTATCAATATATGGTATTTCATATTAAATCACAGGAGAAGAAAAGATAAAAAACGCATAATCTTTTTCTCTTTATAAAACATTCAACATATATGGGTTAAATATTGTAATATATCCTAGCTTAGCTGTTGAGTTGTGATTGAATATTAAATAGAATTGAGCACTATCTCGTATGGGTAAAATACCATTTCAATCTTATTGTGAAATCAAACAAACATTAAATTTTATTTACACTACGTTTGAATTGATGGAATAATGTGAAATAAAACACATTTAAATCTATATTATAAATTCTTTTATTAATTATGCGACATTTTATTGCATATACTTTAAATAAGCTGTGAAAAAAATGGAATACGAACAGGCAGAATGATACATAATGAGAATTTTTTAAAACACCCTTTATGTGTTGTTAAGACACTATACAAAGTTTTTATTTAGTCGATATATTTTCGGATGTATTTTATTTTAACTAAATGTTATGATATATTTTTAGACATATCAAAGATTAATGAAATATTTTGACTCTTTTTCTTTCACACTTTTTTATTTCTCTTCATTTCTCATACCTCCTCATTTCTTTCATTTTTAAATTTTTCAAACTTCACCAAATTTGATTTTTTCCGTTCAAATATCAAGAAATCATCAAGCTGTATCGAATGCATCATTCAATATCTTTTGATTCATATAATCCGAGTAAATTTTTTGAGTTTTCAATAAATATTTGAGTTTTGTTGTAAACGAGGTAAAATTCATTGTTAGGTGTCGAAATGTTTAGAAATTAGATGAAACATAGTTTAGAGTAACTTCATGTATTGTTTGTTGGCTCAAATGGACGATTAAGACTTCAAATTTGTGATTTTGAGGGGCGGAGGACGCCATTGGCGTGACCACTGAGTTGCAGAATGTTTCGGTGATTCATCTTCGGAAACATTCAACGTTTCATGTACTCTGGGTGACTCCGTAGATACATCTGCAAAATGTTTCCGTAGTTGTATCTTCAGAATCACCTAAAATACATGAAACATTGAATTTTTCAGATATAATCTCAGAAAATTTCTCAGTCTGTTTTTTTTCTTCTTTTTGTTTTATAATTTTTCTTATTTCATAAACTCATTATACGACTAACATCTTGCAGGCATAATGGCCGATAAAGCCACGATTTATATCTTGCAGGCATAATGGTCGATAAAGCCGACCGATCGAGGTATGGACGAGTAGCCAGTTGGCTCCGGATGCAACAGGTACCTTTAGTCAGAGAGAGACATCGACTGCTGGTGTACAGTCTACTCCTAAGTCTCACTCCACACCTGTGGTTCAACCTTCACCTCAGACCACTCCATCTACGTCACAGGTCACTCCAGCTACATCTCAGTCACTCCATTTATGTCTCAGACCACTTCACCTTCTTCATCTTCTTCCCACAAACCACAGGATGCATCAGCGGACACGTCACTTCCTCCATCCTCTCGTTGCCACCTTCTGTTGATCTGGTTTCACTCCTGTTGATCCAATCGCACCTGCTGATTGTGATGTACCTGTGCCACCTCAAGAGGGTGATGTTGCTAATGTCGAGCCAAATGCTTTCAGATGGGGTCCATCTGATATGTCCCTACTTTCTTTGTATCCAGATCACACTGCCAAACATATTTGGAACAGAGAGGTAACATTAGTCACATTGTTACTGAATTTTCTTACATTAATTTAAATTGCAAACATTGATTATTTCTAACACTGATTCTTGCTGACATTGATAATTTCTGGAAATTCGCAGGTGCACAAACCCCATAAGTTTCAGAACCATGGTCGAAAGATTTTAGCATTGCATCAGTAAAAAACGAAGTGGTTTCAGTCGGTTCTCACCGCTTCTGGGTTGAGTGACCTATGCTTGACCAGTTACACTTTGGTCAACCACCAGATGATGGGAGCATTCGTGGATCGATGACACTCTTAAACCACTTCCTTTCATCTCCCGCACAGTGAGATGTCGATTACGCTGGACGATGTCTCGTGTTTATTGCATCTATCGATCAGAGGGACATTTCTCCATTATGGTAGGATGACCAAAAACGAGGCGGTCGATATGATGGTGGAGCATCTGAGGGATGATCTAGTGAAGGCGCTGAGGGAGGTGGATAGGACAAGCAATGCTCATATTAAGTTTTCGTTCTTGAAGGAGAGATTTAATGAGGCACTCATTGCTGCAACACAAGCTGATGGTGATGCCCAGGAGGTGGATATCCACATGAGTCATGCTTTGAGGTGTTGTTTTCTATTTTTAGTTGGCATTATGCTTTACGTGGACGCGAGTGCCACCTATACTGACGTTGCATACCTCAGGTACTTCTTGGATCTCACACGAATTCATGAGTACAACTGGGGACGACTTGCTTGACCTATCTATATTCGAAGTTGAGAGATGGATGTCGGTGGACGACGAGGTAGATCACAGGCACCACGTGTGAGGGCAAGGTGTCCCAGTCCTTATTTTAATGATGTCAAAACGTGTATTAGCTCGTACTTTGTAATTTGAGTGGTATCATCGTGTCGTAGCTTGTATTCATGCTTTACAATGCACAAAATATTCTAAAGTCATGTGTCTATACATATAGGAGCATTTCATATATGTTTTGTATGCATTTGATCGTGTTAGGAAACTTAGGTTTGCACAAACATGACCTAGGTGGACCAAAATATGAGTAAAAACTCGTTTTTGGAAGTTTCGGGTGTTTGAGTCGACTCAAAGCCCTGTTTAGGTCGACTTATAAAAGTTGATTTTCAATGTTTTGCTCTCGGGTTTGCTCGCGTCGACCCTTTGATCGACACATACTGTGACCATTTGAATTTGTATTTTTGAAGCAAGCTTGCATCCACGCATGACCCTGTTCCGGTCGACGCATAAATTTTATGTATAGTTTTGCATTCGGGTGTGCTCAGGTCGACCCCCTATTGCTCAGGTCGACCGTTCGCTGACTTGTGGCTATTTTTCTGATTTAATATGTTTCAAAATGATGTTATATTTGTTAGTTTGTCAAGGCATCATATATATTCATTTTGTCTCATCATTTTTAACACATAACAAGAAAAGTGAAGGATATACACTGAATTGTTCTCATCGTCTTCATCCTCATTCTTGCATTTTTGCAACAATTACACATAACATTTTTTGTTGATCTTTTGCATCATTGAGGTGATAACGTCCAAACATAGAATTGTGTATCTCCTCCGGGTTAAGATTTCAGTGGTTTTTTCTTGAATAAAACCGTTAGGGTTTTGTCCTCAAAGGTCTTGAGGATTTGAGGGGGGGGGGGGGGTTGTACAAATCCATGCTTCATATATTCAGCCGAGCGAATTGGGATTGAAGAACGGTGGGTTCGTTCAATCAAGTAGCGTTAACCGGAAGATTATGTATGGAAGATTTGGGTTCGAACGGTGTGTGATCGAAATTAGCCGAATGAAAGGTTTGAAGACTGGTGGGGTTACTCAGACAAGTAGCGGTAACCAGAGGTTTATTTAACAAGTTCAAGGCATTTGATTCATCTTGAATCAAGGGGAGAAAAGACATAGTATCAATATCAACAACTAGGTTTGAGTGTGTGGTGACTATTGATTCTCTTGTATAAACTTTTGCAACAAGATAATACATATCTCAATTCTAGTCTTAGAATTGGGGGCAGACGTACCCAAAGCGAGGACGAAAGGGGATCTGCCTAAAAAAACCCACTGTTGTTCTCTCTTTCTCTATCTCTTCATTTTGAACTGTTAATGTTTGTGCAATATCAATTGATTGATAAAATTCTGCTGTAATGTAGTGCTGAAAATATGGTTTGAAAACATATTACAATCACTTGGATTGTAGTTGCAAAAATTCTGCACTTACATTACATAGGAAACAATACTTGGGGTGTGTTGCACACCAAGTGCTCGACGAATTGATCGCACACAAACTGTTTGCGTTATTGTCAAATTAAGTTTACACTTTATAAGTCATTGGAAATTGGACAAACTAAAATGCTATTATTTTTATTGATTAATCATCAAACTATTGATTCTGTTTCTCATTAGATTTGTTGTTCCATTTGGCTTGTCGCATATCCGATCTTTTCGATAACAGTTCGTTTAGACGGTGACTCGACCCAATTTTTAAAACAATTTTTTTAAGCGGTGACTCTTGTAATAAGTTAGTGATCTATTCAATCCCTCTTCTAGATCATTTCCATCGTCTAACAAGTGGTATCACGAGCACTGGTTCATCTAGTGATTCGTATATAACTTTTTAGAAAATGGCTAACAAACTAAAAGGGACTGACAATAGAGCACCGATTTTTACAAGTGAAAACTATAGTTATTGGGAAGATTTTATGCGTTTTCATATCAATTCCATTGATAGAAAGATTTCAAATTTTATTCAAAATGGTGTTGTACCCCAAAATTTAACCAACCTTTTTTCCTACTTTTGACTTATGTTTCATTTTCATTTTAGCATTTTTGCATGTGCATAGCATTATCCTTACAGGGGATCAAGAGGTGTTTTATGCCATTCAAGAAGAGAGTCCTTTTGGTTTTGAGTCCAAGCAAAGGCATGGGTACAAGTCATCAAGTGTTTGGCACTATCATGAAGTTGTCAAAGTTCCTTGAGAGGAGAGGTTTGCTATAGCTCTTTGTCTGAGAACTACCAGAGGTTTGTCAAAAG